ATGAAGCAACATATATATATAGAGAGAGAGAGAGAGAGAGAGAGAGAGAGAGAGAGAGAGAGAGAGAGAATTCTTTATTTTTTGTAAGTATTATTAAACAAGCGACTAATTCAAATAAGAGAGGCATTTCTATAGGAGTGTCCTAGAATAAAACTTTGAGTGAATCTACCCCTTCCTACTTTTATTGATAGTGTGTTTTTTAAAATAGGACTTTTCATGAGTGTTGGCCCTACTATTAGGATTAAAAAAAAAAAAAAGTGTAAGCATATAATTGAATTATAAAAATGATTAATTAATTTTTTATTTTTTCCTTCGTCCAACCATATCGTTCTACTAAACTAACAAGAAAACAGTCAACTATTGGCCTTATTAATGCATAAAATATTCCCATCTAAAAAAAAAAAGCATAAAATATGTGTTGTTCTTCCTTTTCGTGTCTCTTCCTCATCCTCATTCCTAACTTCTTTGGTTGGCATTCATTAAAAAATAAATAAACAAACTATTGTACAATTCCCTAAATTTTTTTAACCAAAAAAAAAAAAAAACTAATCCATATTTGAATTTAGGTCAACAAACCAAATTAGAACATTAGCTTTATGCATAAGATCTCCATCATTCTGGATGAATTTTTATTTGAATAAATTTCAATATTTTTGTAGGATGGTTTTCCTTACTATAATCACACTCTTGATTCAACAATAATTTATGCATTCATATAATACATGCATATAGATGGATTTGGGGTGGTTGCTGGCACATTTTGGGGCCTATTTTGATAATCCGAACCGTTTGCATTTTAGAATACATCAAGTAAAATATACCTGCAAAAAATTAAGTTAATCGGATATCGTTTATCCTTTCATCTACTCACATTTGTATTCATTTTAATACTTTAAATCACAATTATTATTTATTTTTGTAGATACAAATGTGAGTGGATGAATAGGTAAGCGATATTCGATTAATTTGCTTTTTTGTATGTATATTCTACTTGATATATTCTAAAATGTGAACAGTTCAAATTATCGAAATAGATCTCAAAATGAGCCCATTAAACTGCACATCAGTGACTGCTGTGTATCCCCGCACAACAACCACCCCAAATCCCATATAGACTTGTATACTGTTATTGTTTCTTGAATTCGTCAAGCAATTTATATATATATATATATAAATCAACTTGATCAGATATTGATAAGACCTAATTAGATCATATTTCTCTTCTAAAAAAATAAACGACCACATTCATGCAAACTGGATACTCTAATCCAAAAAATGGATTGGAGACAAATTTCATCTCAAAATTAATATAGAATAATGTGATGAATTCTAAACATAACACAAAATTATAGACATAAAATATACAAAGAGAAAAATTCTATAATTCAGTAATATTTTTAAAAAATATTTATAAATACATTAAAAATTTTAAAATTTTAATTATTAATATTTATAAAATTTACTATTAATATGTATTTTAAAAAAAAAAATACATTAACTTATACTAAATTTTTCCAAAATTTCCACACTAAAAGCAAAAGTCCAGGTAGTAGTAATAACAACCTTTTTGGTTGGGTATTTGTGTCGACATTGGCTGCGTACGAGATGTTTTTCAACCTAAGGAGGTGATTTACCTCCATTCGTCAAAAGTCCGTTCGTACTTCCTCTAACGTTCAATATGTCAAACTTTGGTTGCTAATGGTAGAAGTTTATAAATATGATTTGAGAGTATGAGTTGTATTTTGAATTTGTGAGTTGTAAAATTATGATTTGAGTGTAGAAAATTTATTTGTTTATCATTTTTGAATAGAGTGTTGAATTAAGTGTAAAATTAAGTTTTGAAAATTTGATTTGACATGTGAAGTAAAAAATTTGTTTGATTATGAATTTTGAAAAGAGTTTTCAAAACTTAATTCAAATTGTTACAACTCATAACAAAACACACTACTTTCACACTATTGAAAATTCTGATCAACACTCATAATCAAACTCTTTTTAAAATTCAATTAATTTTTTTTTATTATTAACAGAAAATAACATTAATTAATTTTTTAATTGAAAATACTACAAAGGAAATAATTTTTTTTTCAAAATAAATATTCAAAAAATTTAAATCATAAATATTTAAATAATTTAAATAATCTAAAAAATTTAATAAGTAAAAAATTAAAATAAATATTCAAAAAATTTAAATCGTAAAAATTTAAATAATTTAAATATTCAAAAAATTTAAATCATAAATATTTAAATAATTTAAATAATCTAAAAAATTTAAAAAGTAAAAAATTAAAATAAATATTCAAAAAAATTAAATCGTAAAAATTTAAATAATTTAAATATTCAAAAATTTTAAATAATTTAAAATGTTAATATTTTAAATTTAAAAAAACTCTACACTCAAATCGTAACCAAACATATAAAACAAAACTCAATTAAGAAATTATTTTTAAAACTCATAACCAAACACATAACTCGAAACTCCATACTACTTTCACAATTCTACATTCAAATTGTAACCAAATAAATAACAAAAAAATTAAAATATTTAAAAATATTTTTATAAAATAGAGTTTGAATTTATTTTTATAAAATATTTTAAAATTCAAAAAATTAAAATCGTAATATTTTGAAATTAAAATATTTGAAAATATTAAAAAATTTTAACATATTTAAATATTAAAATATTTAAAATCTTAACAAAATTAAAATATTTTTAAAATATTTAAATATTTAAAAAATTAGAATATTGATTTGAATTGAATTTTGAAAAGAGTTTTGAATTATGTGTTTGGTTATTAGTTTTGAAAAGTAATGATTATGTTTTGAATTGAGTTTTGAGAAATGGGTGTAGAATTATGATTTGAAACTTCAAAACAAACAACACACTTATTTGAGGCGTCACAACTATAATTTGAGAGTTGTGCCAAACGGAGCCTTTTATTTTCATGCAATATATTTTATTTCAAGGTAAATTAAGCTTTACCACTTCTAAGATTTAAAAATAAATAAATTTATAAATTTAACATAATTACACTAATATTTTTATAATATAATTAAAATAAACAAATTTAATAGATGTGAAATTTAATTGTGCCAAAATAACTTTGTCACTTTGATAGCCTTTTGGCTTGGTCAATAGAGATTTTTGGGTAATAGGGAAAGTTAAAAAAAAGAAAAAAAAAAGAAAAGAAATGAAATGAGAGGGTTGATCCCTCCCATACACAATTCTAAGCATGTTAGTCACTAGAATGGATCTTAACAAAACAGGAGGGTCTTCATAGATCTTCAAGTCTTCCACTTGATTTTCTCCCATATGAGCAAGGGCATTAGCACACTGATTGGCTTCTCGAAAAATATATTTGATACTGCAGGCCATACGAGAGGTAAGGAATTTAATGTCTTCCACAAGAGCACAGTAAAGGCAATTTGCATAAGCTCCTTTATTGATGAGTTTGACAGTATCTTGACAGTCAGTTTCAATTACCATATTTCTCCAACCTTTTTCAAGAATGATGACTGTTTTGCTATAAATAGCCCATATTTTTGCTTCGAGGCTTGTTGCTACATCCAACTTTCCAGAGTATTCAAGAATCCAAGAACTTTTTGCATCTCTAAAGAGTCCTCTAAAACCAGCTTTTCCCCAACTTTCCTTGGCACATCTATCAGCATTTAGTTTGATATTACTGATAGGAGGAGGCAACCAATTGATTAGTTTAATTCTTTGTTGATTAGAGCTTAGGAGGCATTGAAAGGCCTCATAGATCTCGTGAGTATATTGAAACACTAGGCCTAAGCTGTCACTAGATTTTCTAAAGAATGGTGTATGTTTTTCAAATCTTATGTAAGGGTGTGATTTATTCATTATTTTATTTCTCACACTTTCTCATCTTTTTATTTTTTATAACAATACTAGAAATCTTAAATGAATTACCAAATATTTAAAAATGGACTAAATCTAGAGCCTTAAGAAGGTGGGGTATATCTAACAAACAATCTCAATCTAAGGATAACAATTGTCCAAGTAGATGCAAAATTAGTCGCCAATTTTGTGCAATTAGAAAACATGACACACCATATATCTAGGAATCGTTTTGAGTTCAGCTAGATTCTCAGGCGGGCAAATCAGGTAACTCATTGGTTAGCATCTTGTAATGTGAAGGGTAAGCTTCCTCTTGATTGGGTGAGAAATCCTCCTTTGGAGCTCTTGGCCATTTTAGATTTTGATTGTATCATGTAAACCTTCTTTTGGCATTTCTATGATAAATTAAATAATAATAATAAAAACACACCACAGGTTTAGCAACATTATTCATAATTACAAATATTGAACAAATTGGGGACATCTAGAGTCAATTACTCTCGATAGGTGAATAAATGTACTTTATGTAAAAAAAAAACAATTTGCCAGAAAACAAACAATACAGAGAGTATTAATTTATGCAAACTCTTTTTACCGTTAACACAAAACCAATTTAGTATTTGTAGAGAGAGAGAGAACTTTTTCTCTCATGGACCAACCTGCAAGCAATAACTTCGGCACCATCCCAATCAACTCTGCTGATCATTGTGGCTCATTAACGCAAGAAAAGTCTTCCGAAGAAGAAGACCACCTGATTCGAAGCACAAAGAAAATCAAAAGCTCAGATTTTATTAAGGAAGCTAGTAAAGGCAACACGATTGATACGGACACAGAACACTCCAGAAACAAACTCGAGGAACAGAGACACCCAGCTTTGGGCCTTGTTCTTCCCAAATCTTTCAAAGAAGCCTTAACGTCAGCCAATGACAGCGACTATACCTTTGACAGCAGAGTGGATATACTATCGTCATATGAAGAAGATGATGATGTCCCTGAGGGCTAGTCTAATATTCAAGGCACATATCCAGAGCAGCGGGGCCTCCCCATAATCTCTCTCCCCAAGAAACTCTTGGCCAAAATAAGGAGACCTTGGGAGAATGCACTCATTATCAGATTGTTAGGGAAAAATATTGGGTATAAAATGCTCTGTTCAAGAGTAAAAAACATCTGGGGTCTTCAGGGAGAATTTAATGCTATTGATCTGGGCACTGACTACTTCCTATTTAAATTCTCTGATCAGATTGACTGCACTAAAGTCTTTACAGGGGGACCATGGGTTATCATGGACCACTATCTCACTGTGAGATGTTGGGAACCAAACTTTAAACCATCGGAAGCATTTGAAACCACAACTGCAGTTTGGGTTCGGTTTCTTGAGCTTTCGATTGAATACTATCAAGAGAAAGTCCTATACGCGATAGCTAAAGCTATTGGCAAACCGCTAAAAATCGATTGGAATACAGCAATGGTAACAAGGAGAAAGTTTGCTCGGGTCTGTGTAGAGATGGACCTCAGTAAACCTCTAAAACCAAAATTCATGTTAGAGGGTATGGTCTACAGCATTGAATACGAATCTTTGCACTCATTTTGTTTTCTTTGTGGCAGAATTGACCACCAAAAGGAGGCATGTAGATTCAAAACCCCAAGTGCTCCATCGATGGTGGATAATCTAGCCATTTTAGTTACTGGAAAATCTGACCCTCAACATGCAATAGACAACAGTCACCTACATCAGCAGTGTGAGAAAGACGAAATCTTTGGCCCATGGATGCTAGTGACTAAGCGTAATAAGAGAATAGCCCAACACAAGAGGGCCCAAGAGCCTACTAGCACAATTACTAACACTAACTCTTTTCGGTATTTGGAAGTGGGCCAAGATAGCCATGGAAACATCCACAAGGAAAAAAAGAATTCTCAACATGTAGGGGAGAAGGCCCAAGGTGAGTCTAGCTCCCTAACTGGCCCAGCACCAACTACGGACCCTAAAGGAAAGAACAAGCTAGGGCTACAACATTATAGAGCTAAGGAATCAAACACACATAGCAAACACCAACCAGTCTGGCAGAAATCAGGGAAAAGTTTAGATTCACACACCAAGGATCTGCACATAAAGAACCTATCCCATGATCAAGTCAAGGTGACAACTCATATCAGTGCGAATCAATTATAATAGAGCTCTGCTGACATGATCTATACGTTGGAGACCACCCTAGGTCTAGAAGACTTTACTATGGTTGAAGTTAACTCATCTCCTACACCAACTCACTTACTGAAATCAACCCCTGCTCAAAACCCCATCAATCCCTTATACTCAGATCGAGAACCTCCAGACCCAGGGGAAATAAACAATGGAAGGGGAAGACCACAAGACCCCGAAGGAATCGTTGCCAGAGGTGAGCGAACATCGGAACCAGAAGGACAATGTGAGCTTATTGTTAGAACCAAGGAGAGAAATAACTCACCTAGTCACTTTTTTCTGGTGGATCGAACAAGTTCGAATGATAATCGCCCTAAATTGGGAGGCTCAACACCAGAATCCATTACACTCGATCCAGTTAGCCTCCATGAGGTCAGCAAAGGCAGATCGGCAACGGATTCGCACCATTGTTAGAGACCTGGTATCTGACTCTCCCCTTCAATACCCCTCTATGGATTTATTAAAACTTCTTTTTTGGAATTGCTGTGGAGTCGGCAATAACAATTTCAAAAGAAATTTTGTGAAAATTATCCGCACCTACAAACCTGAAATCATCATCCTTATGGAAATTAAAGTGCCCTTTAGCACCATGGGAAATTTCTTTTACCGTCTGGGCTTCACAGCCTCAACCATCGTAGACCCTGTTGGTAGAGTATGGGGAATTTGGATCATCTGGGACACAAACCATGTAAATGTTAGAGCCTTATCAGTCAGTCCACAGGCCATTCATGCAACAATCCATAAAGAGGACTTTGAAGAATGGGTTCTTGTTGCTGTCTATGTAAGTCCAAACCCAGATATGAGAGAAAGCTTATAGGATGAACTAGAAGAGGTGGCAGAAACCATGACTAGACCATGGTTGGTAGCTGGGGATTTCAACGATTATGCAAGCCAAGAAGCTTCACAACAACTTCATTCTCTACCTGAACTCAGAAGTTCTTAGATAGGATCAAAAACTGTAATCTAATTGATTTTGGTAGCTCTGGACCCAAGATGACATGGACTAACAATAGACAAGGTTTGGCGAATACTATGGAGAGACTTGATAGAGCCCTGAGCAACCCTGAATGGAGAACAATGTTTCTAGAAGCCACGGTGAGAGTCCTTCCTCGCACATACTCAGATCACTCCCCCCTATTGGTGTACACCCAAGGTATACATAATCTTAATCCCTCTTAGAGGCCTTTTAGATTTGAGGCTGCTTGGATCTCTCATCCTGGCCTTCTTGATATTATTAAGTCTTCCTGGATTGATATGCACAACAACCTTCTTGATTCTACTACTGAATTCACTCGTAGAGTGACAGAGTGGAACAAAGAGGTTTTTGGCAACATATTTAAGAGGAAAAGACACCTTCTTGCTAGGATTGAGGGCATTCAAAAAACTTTAGCTAATAACTTCTCCCACAATCTCCACGTCCTTGAGCAAGAACTTTCTTTTTTTTTTTTTTTTTTTTTACCTAAAGTGGAATTTCGGGGCATTCGAGCCCCGAAATTTAGGGCCCTCAATCACTTCCGTTTTTTTAAAATTTTTTTGAAATCTGAACCACAAATTGTTTGGGTGGTGACTAGTCCAATCTGACCCGTCTCCCAGAGAAAGGATCGGAGAGAATGACAGGAAAAGATCCGAACTCCCTTCGACGTCCTCATTCATCCATACATTCATCCACAGCTAACATAGCTCATGTCATTTATTTAAGATTATTTAGGGTGTCCTAAATAAGTGTACTTTTGTTTTTTTAGATAAAAAAATTGAGACTGAAAATATAGATGTTTGGGTTAATTTTTTGACTTTTTATGAAAAAATGTGTAATAAAAAATTGTAAAAATAAATTTATAGAAAAAAATTCGAATTAAAAATTGTGCAGCTATAATTATTAATTTTTAATGAATAATGTTAACTTTTTAACCTTTTAAATAACTTTTTCACTTTTTAACTTTTTTATAAATTTTCAAACTTAGCTTTATTTCTATGTAGTACTTTTTTCCTATGTAGTACCTTTTTAACTTTAAGCTTTGTACTTTTTAGTCTGTTTGGTAAGATTTATTTTTAATTTATTTTAATTTTTAATTTAATTTAAGTAATTTTGATGTGTTTGGTTTAGCTTAACAATATAGTTTATTGTTTTTTATAAATCAAAAATCAATTTATTCTTTGAGTAGAGAAGCAAAAACTTAATTTATAAGTCAAAAATTAACTTATGTTCACAATTATAAGTTATAATCTATTAGACTAGAAATTATAATTACTTTTTCACAATCTTACCAAACGAAATCTTTAACTTTTTAACTGAAGAGTGGTTAGTTAGCAAAGGCTGGGACTAGTCCTAGATTCCAAAAAAAATTGGGTCAATTTTGGAAAAAGCTTCGGACCATAGTAGGGTATTGGGGGTCGCGTGTGATTGGTCTAAAAAAAAAAATTTTGTTTTTTTTTTTAATGTTTTCCGCCAATCCCATGCTGCCACGTCATTAGAGATTGGAAGCACGGCTCGTCAACTTTTTAGGCGCAGTAGAGTAGATTAAGAGCATCTCCAGCAGCCTATGCATTTCACCAAAAATTGTACAATAGCCAGCCAATAATCATAAATTCCTTCTCCAGCAGCCTAGCTACTGTGAAGCCAAACCAACATTTTGCTACAGTACCTCGCTAGGAAAGACGAGGTACTGTGCACTAGCTCTGAATTTTTTTTATCCTTTTTTAATTCAAACTTTTGTTTTTAAGAATATTTTAATAGAAGATATTTAAATTATAATAATATTTTAACAAAAGATAGTTAAAGTAGATAGCCTTGTTGGAGTGTATATTAAAAAACCAACTAGCTAAAATAGTAAAGTAAAATTTTGAATAGCTATTTTGACTATCATTGCTGGAGATGCTCTTACAAGGCTTCGTTTGATGAGATGAGTTTATAATTAAAAAGTCAAAAAATAATTATAAATTGTCAGATTAATATATATTTTTTGTTATAAAAAATCAAAAATTAACTAAAATAACTAATTTCTAAACGTGGGCTGGCTAAGTATTGAATCCAAATTATATATCAATTTTCTGGACAACTTTTCTGATTTTCTAACTTCATTGAAAAAGCAAATACATATCCAGTGGCAAAGAAGATAGATCATGCCAAACCCATAAAGATTAAAGTTTTAACGAAAAGAAAAAAGAAAAAAAAAAAAAAGAAATGAGTAGAAACAAACACACCCTCCCGAAATATTCACCCACCTCTTGGTAGTCCCATAGGGAATAATCCATTTCTCTCTTGCCTTGCTTTCTTTCTCTGTTCTTTCTGAAAAGAACAGAGGACACTTGAATGGTAAACTTTTGAGGCATTTACATACAAACAATGCAATATATATAGATATCTATGGAAAGGGGGGTGATATATTGCAGGAAGGAAGGAAGGAAACTTCCAGAGAAGAGAGGGAAAGCGTGTTTGAAGAAAATAAGGAATGTAAGAAACATACTATTTACTACTGATAAGAGAGAGGGAGAGAGTATATTCATGTTCAAATGTCTCTCTCACTCAGCCATCACTGTCTGAAAAAAAAAAAAATTTCTCCCTTGCCTTCAGGGATCCCCTGTCCCCTCTATCCATACCAATCACTTTCATATCTATGTAGTCGGGTCTAATTGGGTTGGCCGGTGAGAGATATCCTAAATTATTTATAAAAAAATAATGAAAATTATATAGAAGTCCTCGCTTTAGATCTACTTTTTAAATCTTAATGTGTAAGATAGATGATTGACTGATAATTAAAAAATATATGAGAAATAAAATTATTTTAGATATTTTAATTGATTGTTATATTATTAAATTTAAAAATTGAATATAGCTTTTAGATTTGAATAACAATGCTCAAAAAATAATATATGAGTTTGTACATAAATATAAGAGTTGTTTTTTATATTAGTTATTTACATTTATCTTTTAATTTTTTATAAAAAGACATGCAAAAAAGTAAATATAATAATTGACTTTTTTTATAATACTTTGATTATTGTAGTTTGTTTCCCAACCTGTCCTGGATTTTTTTTATTCATTATTATTTTAAGAGCTTAAAAAAGGTTAAGTTTAGAAACAGCAATAGAATCAGACACATATAACATATTGGCGGACAATTTGTTTTAGAAGTGGTCTTACCAATAAATTATATTAAATCTTGTTCATATTTCATGTTTCTAACATGGTTATAAAAAATGAAGCTTGAAATCTTAATAAGGGCAGAAATTTGTCCCATGTTCCTTTAATTTATTTAAGTTTGGTTTATATAATTAATTCTTATTTTTTCTTCTTCTTTCTACTACTCAATACTGGTTAGTTTTTTATTAGATTATTCTAAAATCTTAAAAGAAGGTTTTAAAATTGAAGGACAATTCTCTTATACACTTAATACCATATATATCTCTAATTATATTATTTTTTTCATTAGTTATGATTTATTTTCTTTTTTAGTTATGATATTATTTTGAGATATTTAGTTATAAATTTTTAGGAAATTGATCAGTAAATCCTGTTTTGTGGACTTATAATCCATAACGTCCTATATATATGTTTTTTTGGTGACTGAGTGATCCCTTAAATTATTTGTTGACTATTTTGCCATTGTTAGTATTGTTGGGGGACATTTGGCGTGGTTATATATAGGGAATGTGGTGGGATGTTTGTGTGTCACGTTGTTTGAAAAGTGCACTAGTATCTTTTTAAAGTTTAGTTGTTTTTAACACGCGCAGTGTGAGATATGAATTCCTTACTAATTGTTTTTTTGACGCGTGACATAAAGACATGTAGTAATTTAATTAAATTGGATCCGCCATGTTAGAGTGTCACATGTCACGCTTAGGAAAAGTACATTAAGGAGTTTTTATGTGTGGGGAAGGTGGTGGGTGTTTGTGTGTCACGTTGTTCACTAGTAGCTTTTTAAAGTTTGATTGTTTTTAACACGCGCAGTATGAGATGTGAATTCCTTACTAAT